GCACCTCTTAAAAACACAAATCAACACAGTAAAATTCATCCTCAGTATTAAAATGACCCTCTGAACTTGATTATTTCTGTTAGAACTAGCATGAGGTGATTTAGCGTGTTCTGTATTCTCAGATGAGAAAAAAATTACATAGCCTTGTGAAGTCTATAGACATCAAGTGGACATAGTCTTGAAAAGTACCAGAAGATGCCCAAAAGGCAACATATTTGTTTGCCTTCACTCTTCATCCATATCTAGTTTATGCCTCCACAGTGTAATCCAATGGAAGAGGCAGGAAGAATCTACTTCGCTTCCAGTTCTAAATCAGTAAGGCAGCTAATGATTGCAGCTAAGGCGATAAGAAATGGGAAGCCCTGTTGGGGACGGCCTTTGTCTTCTCACATGTTTGTAGGCAGAATGGGAAAGCACCTTCTCCCATGTCTGAATGCAGCATGGGAAAGCACCAGCTTGAGAGCAACCGGTGCAGTCCTTGGAAGTTATCTGCCCACAAAAACATATCTTGTCCTCGAAGATGAGCCAAGACTCCTCACTCTGAAAATAGGGAGACCTTGAGGATGTGTGAAAACACTGCCCCTGCTTACCAGGCAGCTTCTAAGAAAATCAACAAGGTGTTCTGGCCTGCCCCCCCACCCCCCCACCCCCTGAGAAGGGAAAGATGAGTATAGCACTTGGCTGAGGTCCGAGAAAGGCAGTATAAAAATAAAGGTGTTGCGCCACATCAGGGCTGCAGTCATTGTCTGTCTGTCTGTGTTGTTTGTGTTTTTGGTTCTCTCATTTCACCCAAAGAAGATGAGCGGCACGTTACATCTGGCGCCCAACATGGGGTGTCCTCTTAGAGTGCGTTGTACATATATTCAGCTCCATGTCTCCCTTTCAGACTGTTCGACTTTGATGGCAGGCACCGTCAAAGCCCAAATTAGAGATCTGAGCAGTCCTTCCCTGTTTGTCTGAAGTAGGATACAGTGAAGACTTGTGCGTTAAGTCTAGAAAATAGAACGAAATAATGAAGTAACCGAGATGCTTACCATTTAGAAAGGCGTTCTTATTAACTTCCCAACAGGCTTGGAAGAGCTTGGAGACAAAAACAATAATTTGAGCTGCAAAAAGGCTTTATTTAAGGCAAAGTACACCCTCAAAGAAAAGGGAGCATGGGCAGCCTGAGACAGGAGGCTCGCTTAAAGGTTTAGAACTCATGTTTTTAAAGGATTTCAAGAATGGGGTAAAGGGCCAAGGGAGCATAGGCTTGACATGTGGTCTCATGATGTGTATCTCTGGTGAGAGACATTATGTCACATTCCATAGTTAGTCCTCTAGATATTCTGCAAAATAAACAACACAAGGAATTAATTGACCCTGTTTTTCTCCAAGATAATGGTTTCCCTCAAGCAGTGGGGACATATCATTTAGGACTGCTTGCTTTGCCTTAAGATAGGGTCACTTGTTGGCCAATTACCAGAAAATATGTTAGCAATCTTATCTCCTAACTCCCTGGTTTTTAGAACAGAATCTTGGCCTTAACATGGAGTCCCTCCTGTTCTTACTATACATTTTGTATCTCAGCATTTTTAATCACAGGAAAAAATGAACCATGATGCGTGTCCCATATCCATGTTCTATCTCAACAGGACATACCACGATAAATGTGGCACACATTTATCGTTCATCAATATAAAGCATTTTATTATATATTGAAAGAAAAGAGGACGTATTACAAAATAGAGTGTAACATGTGAACTTTAGTGATAGGTTATGAGATTTCCAAGAAATTTCATATATATAAGGTCCTACCCTCCCAGGCCTCTATGAGCACAGCCTCACTATCTTAGGCTGCTAGCAGTAATCTGTGGTGAAAATTTTTTAAATGCTGAGGTTACAAAGAAGACCATATATGTCTGAAGTGTGCAAACTACAACAACCTAAGAAATACAATTCCTATGCATTCTAATTTAATTGTTTGGAGGATCTTCTAATTGGAATTGCTATGGCAGAAAATTCAGGGCAGCAAGTGCTTCCACTGAGTTTGTTTGTAAAGGAAATACTGAGATAAAAGAATGGATTACTTCTCTTTAAAATAGGAAATGAAGAAAGATACCAATCAGGACCCCAGTGAAAAAAGAAAACGAAATAAATAGAAGGGGGAAGGTATCACTTTTAAGTGCAGGGTATTGACACTTACCAGGGCTGCTGGGCTGCATAAATTGTCCCAGTGGGGAGACTGGGGAATCAGAAAGAGTCTGGCTCAGAACCTGGTGGGGTCAGGAGCAGAATGGCCCAATTCCCATCATTTTTTGATATGCATTTTGTGTGAGTGCAAAGCAGTATCTGCCTGCAGGCTCCAGGTGAGGGAGCTGTGACCATGAAAAAGTGTGTTGAAGGCCCCCACTGAAAGGCCTTGGGTGCAGATGGGACTTGCCACACGGTAGGCCAGGGGCCTCTGTGTCTCTGCAGTGACTGTGGCCTCCAATGTGCTTCCCCAGAATTCAAGTTCTCAAAAGAATTCCTTGATGGGAATTTTTCCTAACTCTCATTACTAATGAATATAATAACATCTGCCATGTTTGGCTTTTTCTGTATTTCATCTCAATGGATATAGTTCTTGAAATGTTGGGCATCATACTTATTTATTGCAATGATTGTTACATGATGGCATCTATCTTAGATAACAGAAGATGATAATTATTTTGTGCAGTGCCAAGCAGTAGACTCTTTATCCTTTCTGGTTTATATTACCCTTCTGAACAAATGTGAGTAAAAGCATACACTTAAAAAATACATACACTGTGGTGTTTGCACCCTTGCATAAAGAAACTGCCCTACATGCAGGCAATTGGCCTTCCCTCTGGTTTTGAAGTGTGGGAAAGAAAGTTTGCCAGAAAACATCTTTCCCCCCAAATGCCACAGTAACTGAAAATAAACCATCTGAGGTGTCTTCCTTTGAATCTCTCCTAACATTCCCTATTCAAATCCCAACAATCCAGGGAGAGCTCATCTGAGTGTTACATCAAAATGTAAATTAGGGTATAAACCACTCCATTTAGAAGCTGACTTAGGAAATGGATAAGGAATAAATAAAGTGTAGGAAGATTTTGGAAAGCAATTCAGTGACAAATATGAGGCATTGGTCGGGGGCAGAGGAGTGTTAGCAGGTCACAGAGTAACATGAGGGGTGAGTAAACAGCAAGGAAAGCAGACAGGAGGCAGGAGTTAGAGGGTCAGGGACTGAAGGTCTAAAAACAGAATGTCGACATGGCCCAATTCCACTACATCTGGCCCTAAGTTCATATCTTTTATCAAGGACGGCAAGTCAAGACAAGTGAAGAAAGTCTGCAAGATGAGCTCTGCTGCCATGACTGAATAAGGCTTGTTTCTTTCTGAAGCTGCATCGGGGGTGAAGGGCCCGTGGGTGTGGCTGCAGCCTGAAGACAGAGAGAACAAGACAGGCCCTGTGACTGGGGGAGTGATGGCAGGGCTAGACTAAGGGGTACTGATCTACACATGTGTGTCATCTATCTATCTATCCATCCATTTGTCTGTCTCTGCATTTATATATAAACTTAGAAAAAAGCATTGCCCTGACTCTTCCCACGGCGACCCTATTGCTGTTCCATTACCCATGGTACAGCCTTAGTATCCCGCAGGGAGCCTAACAAATGACAGAACTTATTTCTACTAAAAGCTGAATGAGTAGCCGAAGGGAAAATTCCTGGTGCAACAAAGGCACAGAATATGCACACATCAATCTTCAGGAGGCAAGTCACTCTCCTGGGCTGCTGGGAGGAGAGGAGAGCTGGATGTTGATGAACCGTCCCCATGTGTTCCATAGTCTGCCTTGGGACTTGTAACGCAGAATCCATTCCTCTCTTCACCCCAGGCTGGAGACAGATACTCCTTCACCCAAGGAGACAACTTAGTATCTCCTGTGAGTGACTCTTGCTGATCAGAGGCAGGCTCTCTGCTATTCCACAGTCCTCCCCAAGTTTTGATATGGCTTCTCTTGGTCTGAACATCTATGAGGACACAAATAAGCAGAAAACAAATGAACAAATAAACAGAAGCAAGTAAAGTGTGTCCTCCACACACTGAATAGATGGTTAGGGACCACATACAGGAGTGTCGTTAACAGTTCTGGTGCAAAAACAAATGAAGAGACACACAGTGCTGGTCTGAAGCGAGTCTGCAATCCCAGGAGGCCCTGATTAACTCTTCCTCTAGCACTGATTGTAATGAGACACTGTGCTTTATGCCAAGGGCTCTCCTGCCCCTTGTTTGTCACACTCTCTGGCTCAGCCCTCTGGGATATTCTTCCTCTGTTATAGTTTTGGCCACATGTTAAGAGCTATGCCTTTCCTGGGAGATAAAAGAGTTTTCTGAGCTAATTCTCTGCATGAATTATTTTGAATCTTTAATAAGCACAGTTTTAGTCAAAGCAGCTTCTGGCCATAATTCTTTCAAGAGATTAGTTGTTTTCTTATCTCTTTGACTCCAGTAAGACTCATATACTTAATAACATATTATGAAAGTTTTTATAAAATTATATATATATAAAACACAGATTGATAAAATGCATCATTTTCTGTGTAAGAAATGTTAAAATCAGCATATTAGAAGAAAATAAATGGTAATTTTTAGTGCTGCCTCACATAGGGAAATTCAACAACTCAGATGAGAATTAGGAAACTTCTCCTGACTTTCCTGAACTAACTGTTTTCATTCAATCTAACTGCTTAGGAACCTGTGATTTATTTTAACTCAAGATATAGATATAAGAGCTGAGAATCTCAGGGAAGAGTGCTGGTTTACACACTGTGCTCAGTATGCAGCATTGTTTACAGAGGCAAGTTTCCATTAGAGGGTCTCAGCGGTGCCACCACACAGCCCGCCCTCTTCCTGTCTGTGGGTCCTGGGTTTCCTAAGCCTCTGAGCAGGTGGCTGTCTTCATGGGGCTCTAAGGTTTTTGTTAAGCTGCCCCTCTCATTTCTATAACTGTGGGATTCTAAAAGAGCACAGAAGTACTTCGCTGAGTCTTCCGGTTGCAAGGAGGAGATGGTGAGGCTGATAGACTTTTTTGCCTTTTGAAAGTTGACAGAGTAGCCACCCTGCTTTGCATTTGAATAACTAGAATGCTGTGTAATAAGCAGAACCATCTCTCCACTGGCAGGCTGCTTGTACCAGTACAAATAATAGACATTCGAACTGGTTTCATATGTGCAGGGCAGGGTCACAGCTTCTCCTTCTTGCGCTGTTATTGTAGCCTGAGCTTGGGTTACTCTGTCAGCCATGCTGGATCCTGTGAAAAGAGAAGACAGGGTTGGCTCTGAAATGTCTCAGGGGGTTCATGAGGACTGCATTAGTTTGCTACAGTGTGAAATATATTAGTTTGCTACATGAGGACTAAGAAAAGAATCACATAGTGTTTCACTTCCCCAGCTCTCTTCCCTCTTAGGACCCCCACCAGTTCCAGTTAGAACTTGCATAGTTCCGTCCTTGTGTCCTAGGAGGAGGCTGGGGTCCCATGTCTGGACACACGTACTGAAGGCAAAGGAAGCTATGAATGTCCACAGCAGGCCAGGGCAGAGCATGATCAAAGTTCTTCCCTTGGTTGAAATTTCTTCTGTTCTCACTCCAGTCCAGACACCAACCCTTCTCTGATGCCTGAGTGTAGAGTAGCTGGGCTATTTGAAGTTTCTGTCCCAGACAGGAAATACAGTTCATAAGTCGGATGTTACACTGCTCTGCTCAGAGACTGGAACATATACCTCACCCCAGGTCTTGGATCGCCTTTATGTTTTTTCTGCGGTAATATCTTTGAAAAATACCATTTGTATCTAGCAAGGTACCGGAATGAAGTTTAATTATCCTTTTGATATTGAAATCTCACTGAATGCTATTTTGATCAGAGATTATATTCTGAATGATTTAAAGCCTTTGAAATTAATTGAGGCTTGCTTTAAACCAGAATATAGTGAATTTGGATAAACAATCCATGTGCATTTGAAAAGAATATGTAGTCTGATGTTTGTGGGTAATGTGTTCTATAGATGTTGGTCATATTCCTTTTATGTTTCTACTGAAACATATTTCAATATGTTTCTACAGTGATTAATGCCTGCCACTATGGTTGTAAATTTGTATCTTAACTTCTTAAGTCAATAAATTCCACTAGTTAAATTTTACTGAATCACTCTCTTATTTGTGTTTGATATGTTTTGTAGCTCTGCTATTGGGTGCATATAGAAATAGAATTGTTCTGTCTTCTGGTAGATTGTCTGCTTAATCATTTCAAAGTATTGCTCTGTACTGTTTTAATGTTTACTCTATCTGATATTAATGTAACTACTTAGCTTCTTTTTGTTAGGGACTCCAGCTGTCTAGTTATCCGTATCAAAAGAATGAAGTTGTATCTCTGCTTACCAAATTCACTTGAAATGGATTAATGATCTCAATGTACAAACTAAAACTATAAAACTCTTAGAAGAAAACATAATTGTAAATCTTTATGACCTTGAGTTAGGGAATGCTTTTTAAAACATGACCTTAAAACACAAGCCCTTAAAAAAATAAATTAGACATTTTCAAAATTAAAAATACTCTTGCTTCAAAAGATACTTTGAAGATAATGAAAAAGAACCCACAGAATGGGAGAAAGTATTTGCAAATCATATCTGCTTAGGGTCAACTATCCAGCACATATAAAGAACTTCTGCAACTCAACCATAAAAAGACAAAATGACCCAAGGGAAATTTTAATTTGAATAGTGGTTTAACTAAGGTTGCTTATGGTAGTGGGGATGAAGGTGAAGGAAATGTTCCTTTTCAGCATATGTCCTTTATACAATTTTATTTTGTACCCATGTGTCTTTATTACCTATTCAAAAATCCAAGAATAATTTGTATTAATATTTTCAGTACTCTTAGCTCTCCATTAGAAATATTACTTTTTTGCCTGATAAACGAGTTGGTAAGCTTTTCTTCTCTGAGTGGAACACTCTTTTTTAAAAAAAGTTATTATTTTCATTTCCTGAAGGAACACTTGGAAAAAACAGAGAAAATTCATTCTGCTGCTGATATATATACACACCTGTAAGATATGAAGGGATTGGTGGTATGTTTGGGCAACAACTCAAAACTCTTGAGTAGTGTCACTGAACCCTGGGTGTACACTGCCATGAAAATTTTTTCCCATTTTTTCTGGGAAGCAGAAATGCATCTAAGGACAAAGGCAGAATAGAGTTCAATGTTGCCATTCCCTTGTCACCCTGCTGAATCTTCAGCACCAAGAACAGTGTGTGGCACATAGTAGACATTCAGTCAATATTTGTTGGAAATAGAACATGTAAAATGCAAAAAAGCGTAGCAGGAATTCCTCTGATAGCTACTTAAATTGTACCTTTCATAACCAAGCATCCACACTCTGAAGATAGACTGTGCGAGGAGAACAGGCATAAATATTACATGAAAAATATATTTTATATGTTAAATTGATGAGTTAGGCATATGCATACACACCTAGATTGAAATTGCTCATAGTAAATGATTATCTATGGGAAAAGAAATTTGGAGTGACTTTAATTTTCCCTTATTTTCTATATTCTCAAAATTGTCCAAAAGGAGCATGTGTTGATTTTATAATAATTTCTTTAAGTCAAACTTGTTTTTCTTTAAAGGCCACCATACTGTTATACAGAATCGTTTTAGATCCCCTTGGCCGCTGTAGGATTTGGGAAGTGTAGATTTCAATGAGAGCACCTCAAATACCCAAGTTATCTTTACAATTTACACATCTGCTTGAAAAACCACTTTTCCTCCTCTAGAACATGCTGGAGTTAATGCAAATTGTTGTAACTCTTCTTAAGTGATTTGTAACCAAAAGTATTATAATCACAAAATTAGATCTCTGCATTCATTTCAAGTTGGAAACAAGCAATTAATGCAAGCTGTTCTAACCCCAAACCTGGTCCAGGACAAAGAATGTGGCTGGGACCCCGCTGCAGGCTGCAGGTGTCTGGAGGGCTGAGCTGGCTGCACAGAGTACAAGGCTGGTCTCCTGGCTGGGGGCTGTGACAGGCGAGGAAACTTGGTAAATGTTTTGATTCAAAAGCACTGTGAATCTTCCGTCCTGTTTTTTCCAGTCACACGTGAACAGATCCCCACCGGCAGAGGAGGGTCTCTCCTGCTCCTTCGTCCCCCAGAGAGAGTTCAGAGCCCGTCTGCATCACTGCAGTTGTCAGCAGCCATTTCTCTCTGCTGACAACCAGGACTGGAGGACTCTGCACCACGTGCTTGTTTGAGCCACTCGCCACTGCTGAGACACTGAAGACGGACGGGTTCCTGGGTCATTTTCAGAATTTACATTTCCTTTCTAGAGTATTTACAGGAATCCTGAGGAGAACCAGGTGAACCTCTTTTCCCTCTGCAGACTTGTGATGGACCTTTCCAGAAGCACCTGGACCTACAGTATCAGCATCTAAGACAAATTGTGAACAGATAAAAATATTAATGAGAAATATATTTTTTGCAACCTTCTTCAAAACGACGCCTAGTGGAGAAAAGCATATGAATCAATATCTTCACAGGTAAATGCCCTGGAGGTAAAGGACTGAAAGAAGATCATCTAACGCAAGTAAGAATGGTGGCTCATGCAGCCTAATGTGGTCTGGCGGTGGTGATCAGCCACGTCATCTCTAGAAATACAAAGAAGTACACCTGAGTCCTACAGTAGGGCTCTCCTAAACTTAAGTATCACAGCTTTTCTGAAAGTCATATTACTACATGAGATTCTAAAAAATGTTTTTCAAATTAATGGTAATTTATATAATTAACATAAAGATACTGTGGATGTGGCAAAAATAATCTACCTTTGAGAACAGCCCTCTCCTCTTTCAGCTCTACTCTCAGCTTTAAGCTGCCCCTGAGGTCCTGCAGCACAGAGACCATCTCCTCTCCTCAGGCTCTTGCCCCTCCCGCGACAGGAGATGCTGTTCGTCCTCCAGTGCTGGCTGGGCTCCCTGTGTGGGCAGGTGGGCTTCTCCGCTGTCTTGGTCCAGCTTTGTCTTAGCCTGCCCCTGTGCCTGGATCTCGGGTTTAGGATGATCTCAGCACTCACGCCTCTCCTCTCATGGTGGCCAAACCCTGTCGTGTTTGTTTCAGGATCTTGGGAAAGAGAATGTCCTGCCTCTCCTTCATTGGTAGCAGAATTACTAATGGTGCTAGGATGCTCATATCTAAAGGTTTTCCTGCCCCTACCCTAAGGTAGAGGGCTTTTTCCTTGACTTTCTCTCTGCTGCAAAGGATGGAACCTGTGCCCTCAGGAGGGGGGTGATGGTAATAGAATTTGCTGTCAGCTCTTTATTCCCACCCCCCAACAATTTCAGGCTTTCCTTCATGTGAGAGACTGATCTAGGCAAGGTGTGGGGATCTGTGCTTTCCTGTGGTGACAGCCCACCAGCCTCTGCAGACCTACACCAATGATATGAGTCCTTCTGTCACCCACTCTGCCTCCAATCATTTTTGTGAACATAAGTGGAAGTTTGTGAAAATGGCCATATCAATGAGTGCAAACCCCTCTTTTTGTGTCTGTATCTCTGGCAGTTCTATATTGTCATGAGAGACCTCATTCAATCTTTTAACTGATTTCTTTTTTTTTTTCTTGTAAGACAGCCAACACCCCTTTATCTCTGTTCAGCTAATGTGCCAGTCCATATGTCTGTAGCTTCTTGGCAAGGCTGTTCTTCATGGGAATTCAGCCTACTTGGTTACCCTGACTTCAGGACTCTGATAGGTTGTAGAAAAGTTATAATTTTGTTGTTTATCTAGTTTACATGACAGGGTGGAAGCAATACTCTTTCATGCTTTATATACCCTAGGAGGCATTGGAACTCTATCTGTTTTCTTTTTCACCTGACATTTTGATAAGAAATTAACCATCTTTGTCAGCATTCACTGTGAAACAGAATCTACTGCAAAAGACATTATCACTGTCAATCGCAGTTCATGAGTATAAGGGCACTACTCTACCTTCTGCTGTTGCATTTTGACTTCTGCAGGTCACTAATCCCCTTTATTAAAAAGTTTAACTGATTTATGTTTTATTTTTAAGGGTCTCATAGAGACTAGTGCCTTTATTGGGATTTTGTTGATGGAGGAACGGGTAAGCTCCTGAGGGCTTTGTTACTCATTCTGTGGCTTCAGCCAGGTTGTGATTCATGGGAGTGAATATGAACTCAGTAATGGAAACTCCCAAGGAACATTGCAAAGCTGGAGAATCAGATAATGGTAGTTCATTCTGGTCCAAATGGGTTCTTTCTGGGACTTTTATAAATGGGTCTTGAAGCTGAAATTATGAACACTAGGGATATATCCAAGGAACATCCTTCACATTATTATTCTCCCAATGATGCCTAAACCCACTAGAGAAACAACAGACACACAGAAACACATTGCTGCAAATTCTACCAGCAGTTTGGTAAAGTACAGTGGGAAAGGAGGAAGTGGAGATACCTGTCCTTTTCCTCCAGCCATGAAAGTCATTCTTCTTAGATACCATCACTCACCCAAAGTTAGGAGAACAGTTATTCCTACCACTGATCTCATAGTTCAAGCACAAGTCTTCCAGGCCTCAGAGCTCAGGATCTGCATCTGATTCTCTGTTGGGGGAGGTTCCAGGACCTAAACAGCAGCCAGTAGCGCAGCCCCACACCAGGCAGCTTTCAGTCTGGGCTCCCAGCCATGCCCCAGCCAAAGGCCCAACAGTCTCCTGTGTGGGTCTACTCCTGCCCCAAGTCTAAATGTTAATTTAGAAAGAGTGTAAGAATGTTTTTCCCATGTCTAGTCTTAGTTCAGAAGCTTTATGCTGAAGTCATTTTTGAAGTTTAAATTTAAATAGTCTATGTCTGAGTCTGAATGAGTAAACTCATTCACAGGAGATTAACCATCCTCCATATGTGGTAGAGGACAAAACCCACCACTGATTAGCAGTTTGACGCTGTATTGAGTGGTTATGAAATGTTGAGGGAAGAAGAGAATCCGATCCATATTACCAGCCACAGCAAGTATGTCTCAGGAAGAGTAATATATAAGTAAATTTAAAAAATTAGCAACTTCCTTATGGTTAAAAAAAATTTATCATAAGTTAAAAAGCAAATAACACTGTGCAAGAAAATAATTGCAGTGTACATGAGAAGATGACTTCATAGCTGTACATTTTGCAATGTGCTCATTCTGATGTGGACAGGTAATATTAAAATCCCGTGGAAAAGCCCAGCTGCCTGGGACCCAGGTCTCCCACACTGGGTCTTTAGCACTTTCTGAATGGACATGTTGGACGTCTCTGGTCTTAATACAGGAACTAATGACTTGAACGGTATATCCCATCCGGTATAACTCCCATCCGACCTGGACGCTGCTTCTACACATTTTCTCATCTCCCTGCCCACTCCTCAGGCTGGCACACCCCGAGGACCCGGAGGGGAAGAGGGGAGGAGGAAGGAAGGAGCAGCGATTTGGAAAGAGAAGTGAAATGAAATGAAGCCATTTTACAAGAGAATGGAAATAAACATGGAGGAATTTCTCTGGTTATTGTTCAAAAGCAGTGATTATTAATGAAATGGGATATAATAAGATTAAAAGTACCCTTCTCTGCTACAGTAAATAGCCTCATTACTCCACTATAGGAACAAAAACTATTAATCACCCCTCTCTTTTCTTCCGTGAGGGGTCAGCTCCTTGCTCTGCATCTGGGAAGGAGGTCCTCCTATCCCTGAAGCTGTGCCCACACTCAGTGTGAGACGGTGAAGTACCGGGTCACGGAGGGGGTGAAACCAAATTCTTTGCACAACTCAGTGATCGCCTCTCCCTCACCTGGAGGGAGCGTCGGTGTGCAACTGTAACAGCCCCCTCTTGTGGTTGTGCATGTGAACCCCTTCCTCAGAACCGGGAACCCAGTCAGTCAGCAATCTTTCCAAGTTTATGCGTCAGGGTTAAAGATAAATACCTCGTATGTGCTGCCTCCCTCTAGAGCAGGGCTCCGTGAGGAGCTGCCAGCACAGTACTCTCGGTTTAAGGACTGAATTGTTTTCAGACACTTGGGGATTTTACAGCAATTTCTGTCATGTTTTTCTCACAAAAATAGTTTTAAAATACCCCTCAGTTAATTCCTTCTATTCTCCTTAGTATCTTGTACATCCCAGGTCTGAAAGCAGTTCCCAAAGCCCACATCATTCATTGTTTACCATAGGATTTGGCACAGACTAAGCACTTAATAGTAATTGGTTGGGTGAATGTATTAATTAATATTTACTGGGGGATACATGGAATGACTCTCAGAATTATCCCAAATAAACTCTTCTAATTTTCTGGAAGACAAATTGAACAAAAGTATTAAGCAGTAAAAATCAATGCCAAGATTAGAGCTGTAGGCAAATTTCAAATAGATCAGCAAGTCCCCTCATCCTCTGAAAAAAGAAGAATTTACAAATCTAAGATAGGGAAAGACTGGTTGGCATGGTAGTGTGTGGCCATAATTAATTTAATAAATATTCTTTGTGCACCTATTGTGTGCCTGATTATAAAGTAACTATAGTAATTCAAGGCTTATGTAAATAAATAAATGAAATTAATACTGGAATTGCTAAAAGAAATATGACAGCTAAGATGCCATCCAGGTATATAATGTGAAAGGCAGACCAACATTACAACTTTGTATCTACTGTTCACTATTGCAGTGTTCAGATGGCTAGAGAATCCAACCAAATCCAAGGAACAATAAATATTGTGCTACTTCTCAGTTTTTTAATTGTTTCTATGTAACAGCTTTGTTGAGATATAATTCACATAGCACACAATGAATATACTTATAGCATACAATTCAATGGTTTTTAATATATTCACAGAGTTGTACACCCATCACCACAACCAATTTTAGAACCTTTCATAATCCCCAAAGGAACCTGTACCCATTAGCCATTTCCCCCAAAAGAAACCCCTTCTGGGAAACCCTTAATCTTGTCTCTGTCTTGGTCCCTTGAGCTGCTATAACAAAGTAGTATGACTGGGTGGCTTACAAACAACAGAAATTGACTTCTCACGGTTCCGGACGCTGGCAAGTCCAAGATCAATGCACCGGCAGATTTGGTACCTAGTGTGCACCTGTTTTCTGATTCATAGATGGGGCCTCCCTGCTGTGTCCTCACAGGATGGAAGGGGCAAGGGACCTTTCTGGATCCTCTTTTATAGAGGACTAATCCCAGGGCTCCACCTCTTAATATGATCACTTTTGAAGGTGAGGATTCAATTTAGGAATTTAGGGGAAACAAACATTTAGACCATAGTGGTGTCCATAGATTTTCTCATCTTGGACACTTAACGTATGTGGAATTACACAGTGTACACCTCTTGGAACTGACTTTTTTCTTTAGCATAATGTTTTCAAGGTTCATCGATGTTGCCCTATGTATCTGTGCTGATCTTTTTATTTCTCAATAATATCCCATTTATGGATATATACATTTCATTTATCAATTCATCAGTTGAAGGACATTTGGTTTCTTTCCGCTTTTTGGCTATGAACATTCATGAACAGTGTTTTCATTTCTCTTGGGTATATACCAGGATTGGGACTGCTGG